GTAGTGTTATAATATTAACTCTAAGTGCATGGTGGAAAATATTTATATTATAATTTCTAGAACAGTGGCTCTCAATTCAGAGTGATTTTACCCACAGGGCACGTTTGGCAATGTCTGGGGATATTTTCGATTGTCATAACACAGAGGCATGGTGCTATTAGCACCCAGTGGGTAGAGGCCAGTGTTGCTGCTAAACATCCAACAGTGCTCAGAACAGATTCCCACGCCAAAGAATGATCCTGATCAAAGTGTAAATAGTGCTGAGGTTGAGAAAATCTGCCTAAAGCAACTACAAAATTATGTAAAATGTTATAGCTAAAAAGCTTATATATATTGTATTGGGTTGGCCAAAAAATTTGTTCAGGTTTTCTGTAAGATCTTATGGAAAACCCCGAACGAACTTTCTGGCCAACCCAACATATAATTATGAAGAATTATATATATGTAATTATATATATAATTTGAAGAATATTTATATACTTACAAAGAAGGTTGAAAAAAGTACAAAGAAATAAAAAGTAGAAGGGGGAGAGAGAAAACAAGTAATAGGCATCCTTAACTTCAATCATATCAAAATTACTAAATTACAAAAGGAAATAAACACTCTAATTAAAAGACAGAGATGATCAGAACAGATTAAAAGTATGACCCAATTATGTGATCTCTACAAGAAATGCACTTTGAATACAAAGAGAGATAGTAAATGGATGAAAAAATATATACTATGTAAAAATAAGTATAAAAATGATAGAGTGGCTATAATAATATGAGATACAAAATAGATTTCTAGACAGAGTATTGCCAGAGATAAAAAGCAACATTTCATAATGAAAAAAGGCTCAATTCATCAAAACGACATACCAATCATGAATGTGTGTGCATCTAACATAGACTCTCAAAATACATGAAGCAAAAAATAATAAAATTAAAGAGACAAGAGAAAATCTCACAATAATAGCAGATTTTAACATTCCCCTCTCAGTAACCAATAAAAAAAAAACTAGACAAAAATCAGTAAACCCATAATCTAAATAAACAACATTATCAAACTCAATGAATTAATTGATATCTATAGAAAACTAAACACAAAATTCTTTTCACATGCACATGATACATTCAGAAAGATGTACTATATATTTGTGTCAATAAAAATGTCTCAATACATTTACAAGGATTAAAGTCAAAGACAGTATATTCTCTAAGTTAAAACTCAGTAATGTTAAAATATCTAGGAAAACCCAAAATATTTGGAAATTTTCCAGTACACTTTCTAAAGCATCCATGGGTCGAAGAAGAAATCACAAGGAAAATTAGAAAATCTTTCTAACTGAATGATAGTATAAACACAACATACACAAATCTGTGAGATGTAGGGAAAGCCGTGTGTAGAAGGAAATTTATAGATTTAAATGCTCACGTTAGAAACAAAGAAAGGCCTAAAATCAATGCCCTCAGGTTCCACATTAAGAAGTTAAAAAAAGAAAAAGAGAAGTAAACCAAAAAGTAAGTAGAAGAAAGAAAAACATAAAAGAAATAGTAGAAATCACCTACATAGAATCAATCGTGAAAATTGGCAAAGTGAAAAGCATGTTCTTGTTAAAACCAAAAAAAAAAAAAAAATCAATAGGTTCATCAACAGAAAAAATAAAGAGAGAGAATGCAGATCACGAAAATTAAGAAGACATTAAATGGATAATAATGGAATATTAACAACTATATGCTTTCAAATAAAACAACTTAAACAACAAATTCCTTGAAAAATATAATTTACCAAAACTAACACAGAAGAAAGAAATACGAGTAACTCAATATTTATAAAACAAATTAACTTTATTATCTAAAACTATCCCACAAAGAAATCTCAGGCCCAGGAAATTTCCTTTGTAAGTTCTATCAAACATTCAAGGAAGAGATAACACCAGTTATACACAAAAATCTTTTAGAAAATAAAAGAGAAGGGAACACTATCCAGCTTGTTTTATGAGGCCAGCATAACACAAATACCTGGCAAAGACACTACAAAAGAATGAAAATAATACACTAATATCCTCATGAACATAGACACAAAACTCTTTAATAAAACATTAGCAAGCTGAATTCAACAATGTATAGAAAAGATAATACACCATGACTAAATGTGTTTATTTTAAGACTGAAAGGTTGATTTAACATTCGAAAATCCTATTAACAATAGGATTTTTTTAAATTAGGCAAGCTGACGGAAAACTAAATATGCATAAATAAATAAATTCTTGTAAACACTTAATAAGAGGGGAGTAACTCTACCAGATATTAAAATGTAATAAAATGTTATAATAATTAAAATCATTTTGTATTCTAGTAAACAGATGAATGGATAATCCAGAAATAAACACAAATACACATGGTAAAATATATATTGATAAAGGAGAGCATTGAATAAATGATGTTGAGAAATCTAGCCTGCCATCTGGTTAAAAAAATAAAGTTGATTGCTTATCTTTTTTCTTACTTAAGGTAAATTCCAGATGAAACATATATTTAACTATTTTTAAAAATAAATTGAAAAAACTTTAGAAGAAAAGGTGGAAATATATTTTATAATTTCAGTGTGGAGAAAACCTTTCTCAAAAAGAAATAAACTCAGAAGTCTTGAAAGATTGATACATTTGACAACCTAAAACTCAAAGACAGTAAAACATAGCATTATAAAGTTAAAAGAGATATGACAAATGGGAAAAAAATATTTGCAATATATATGGCAGAAACAGGACCAAGTTCTTTGATATATAAGGAGCCCTTACAAATCAGTAAGAGAAAAATCAATATCTCAATAGAAAAAATATGGGCTCTTATGAAAAATAGGCAGTTCACAGAAAAAGAAATAAAATTACTTTCTAACCTAAGATAAACACCCTCAACTTCCTTCAAATTCTAGTGATGGAAATTAGAACAAAAATAAGACATTTTTCTTTATTTCCCTGGCAAAGAAAAAGAGTTTCATAATACATGATATTGGTGAGAGTGTGTGAAAAAGGATGCTCACACACTGAGGGAGCATGAACTGGCATCACCTGTTTAGAAGGCAATTTGACAGTAGCTGTCAGTTGAAATTCACATGACTTTTGACCTAATAATTCCGCTTGCAGAAATTTACATTACAGATACATTTGCACATATGCGCAAAGTCCTGTAGACAAGGATATTTATAGCAGCTTTGTTTGTAGTAGAAAAGATAAAAATAAATATCCATGACTAAGGGGCTGGATAGATAGATTAGACTTGAAATGGAATATTCTGCACTATTAAAAAGACTGAAGTTAATCTTTCCATGATTACATAATAAAGTCTCCAAGGAATATTTTTGGGTAAAATAGCTTGAGGCAGGACATTTTATGGTATGTGTACCCGCTGGGTAAAATAATTTGTGATAAATGTATGTGTATATCAATATTACAAATATGTGTAAACCCACACATATACATACAAAGACATTTTTATTCTTATATATTTGCAGATTATTTCTCAAAAAAAAAAGAATAAAACACGAAACTGCTAACTATCACCTTTGAAAATAATTCTGGAAAACTGAAAGTCTGGGTTAGGAGAGATATCCTGACAATAAATAATTTTTTGCGATATTTAAATAGATGTTTACCACGTGCCTATATTATTGAAAAATCCACCAGTTCAAAAAAGTCAGTGAACTAAATCAATCATTTCTAGCATCCATGAAAAGAGCAAATAAGAAATAGGTTTCTGATATGATATGCTTTATGTAAGGAAACCCAATCACTTGATCGGCCTATACTTCTTTCAGTATTTTAGAAAGATTTTTCAGCCAGGTGCTTAAAGAATGACAACAACAAAAGGTACCTGCCCTAAAAGAGCTCACAGTTCCATGGGAAGAGTTCACATTCAGAGGTTCAGAGGAAGGCAGCTGTCCTCCGGCTTAGATTTAAAATGTTGAAGAAAGTCAGTTCTTCCTGAGACCATAACAAGAATTTGCTCAGTTCAGCAACCCTCCTCTATAGACCTCACCAGGTCTCTTGGTAACTGTCAACCTCTCCGAGAGAGGTGATGTCCCCTCCTCCACTAAGCTTCCAGGAAAGATCCCAAAGAGACTTCTTTCAAGAAGTCTTATTAGCCATCTTGGGTTCTGTTCATTAAGCTTTGTAGAATAATTTCAATTCCCAAAGGCAACTGACAGCTGCTGGGGGTGAGGATGGCAGCAGGACCCCAAGAACAAGGCCCTCCAGTGGTTGCTGTTATAAAGCCACACTGGTGTATTTGGCCGCACCTCTCCCTGGAATGTTTCAGACCTGGTTGACCCTGTGTGGTAGGCATTACCTTTGTAGAAAAAGTTGCAGGAACATTGTACAGCAAGGAAGGGTAGAAATGGTCAATTGCTTGGGGCTAGAAGCCACGGGTTAAAATGTCACGAATGAAGGCACCAAGGTGTCTAGAACCAGACTGCCTTAATTAAAAGTGCTGGGTATTTTGCAGGTGACAGCACTCTTAGGAGACAGGGGGGCATTCAGGCTTACCTCACAGATGGGAGTGGTACTGTATGGTGTTTACTCTACAGAACTTTTTCCTACCTTCATTCCTTTGGTTACTCTCTCTTCCTTCTGCTTGGAATATTCTTAAGCTTTTGTTCTTCGGCTGACTCCTACCCCATGTCAAATATTGGTTCAAGCTCTTCTCCAGGAAAGCTTCTCTAATCTCTGCCACAGGAATTAGGTGAAAACCGCTTCCTCCATGTCACAGCTCTTTCCACTTTACATTCAACCACTGACTTGTCAGGTACTCATATTAAAGTACAAATGTACTTAAAATTGTATCCCTGGTGTCTGACGTAGAGTGGAAACTCAAGGATTGTTTGATGAATTCGGCTACAGCGTCACTGTTCTCCCCTGGATTCTCCCAGCTTACAGCACTGAACTGAACGTGGCGATTGTTTCCCCTGCCTGCCCCACACCCACTGCACCACTTTCCTGAGTCTAAGACATCATACTCACTTGTCCAGTGACATTGTAGGGAAGGAAAACTTGCCCAGGCAGATGCCATAGACAGCACTCAGGGGAATCCATTGCAACTGCACACAGCTGAGCATGATGAAGTCATATTTGCAGATCAAGAGAATCCTGTCTGTGACCAGCAAAATCCTCTCCTTCTCATTGTTCCAGCGGTCTATCCTGTAAAAAATCACCACAGAGAACAAAAGTTATTTGCATAATCTTTCCAAGTTGAAAATAATGGAATTGTCTGAAACATAGCTACTGACACAGAAAATAATGAGGTTTGATCACCTCGGAAGAAAGAGAAGCTGAAGAATGCCATTCCTTCTCTCTCATTCCAGCCCCATGACTAAGGGAGGAGGGAAGTGGAGGATCACAGGGAAAGGTTTTGTTTTGTTTTGTTCGTTTCATTTTTTGGTTTTTTTGGCTGTGTTTGGTCTAGGTTGCTGCGCGTGGGCTTTCTCTAGTTGCGGTGAGCAGGGCTGCTCTTTGTTGCGGTGCGTGGGCTTCTCATTGTGGTGGCTTCCCTTGTTGCGGAGCACGAGCTCTAGACACGCGGGCTTCAGTAGTTGCGGCATGCGGGCTCAGTAGTTGTGGCGCACGGGCTTAGTTGCTCCGCGGCATGTGGGATCTTCCCGGACCAGGGCTCGAACCTGTGTCCCCTGCATTGGCAGGTGGACTCTTAACCACTGTGCCACCAGGGAAGTCCACAGGGAGAGGTTTTACGGCCACAGAGCTCAGAGCTGATTAGCCTTGACAGGATCCATTAGGGGAATAGCAAGATTGTATCATGTTGGCAGTCAACTGATTCATGCTCCTCCATGTCTTCCCAGTTCTCTAGAAAGCCTTCACGGAGCACATCTTCCTCAAAGCACACCAAAAATAACCTTTGTTCTAACTCAACCTGGATGACTCACTAGGCATTAGTTTATGCTAATCTCCAAAGGTCGCATTGCTGACTGAAGATAAAATGGAGACTTGGGGCTTCCCTGGTGGCGCAGTGGTTGAGAGTCCGCCTGCCGATGCAGGGGACACACGTTCGTGCCCCGGTCTGGGAGGATCCCACATGCCACGGAGCGGCTGGGCTCGTGAGCCATGGCCGCTGAGCCTGCGCGTCCGGAGCCTGTGCTCCGCAACGGGAGAGGCCACAACAGTGAGAGGCCCGCGTACCACAAAATAGAAAAAAAAAAAAAAAAAATGGAGACTTGAATATAGGTCCAGTGACCTCCACCCAAGCCATCGCTATTTCAAGCTCATTCTATCATTTTCTTATGGTATAAACATAGTGAAACAAGTGAACTGAGATTCTTACAAGCCAAAGACAAAGCAGACACTGGATAAGTGTTTACTGAATTGATTTGCTTCAGATTTGAGAGCCTTTCAGGATATGCATGGAAAATTCTGAGAGTTAAGAATCTCTCCAACAGAGAGAACAGAGAGAACCAGAAGCAATGGCTTCTGGTTAAAAGGGAGCATGGTCTGAAATTCTCCTCACTCTCAATGCTTTTGCTGTCTGTCTGCTACAGCCTTTGTATATAGCACTGCATGACTTATATGATAACCGTTTCAGTGCATGTTTTGTCTTCCCTAAGAGACAGAAAAGGATGATTTGTGACTGATTCATATCTGAACCCCCACTACACAGAGTCAATCTAATGTAAAAATTAGGACTGGGCACCCTGCTCCCATCTATTCTCACATAGTAACCAGAGTGCTATTCTTCAAATACAAAAGGAATGATGTTACTCCCCTGTTCACTCTATTAAATGACATCTTTTTGATTTCAGAATCAAATCCAGATTACATAACATGGACTACAGGTGCCTGTATGGTCTGGCCTCTGCCCAGCACCCTCTCATAGCAGGCTGAGAAAACTCATTGTTCAAGTCATGGTTCAAATGCCTCACTCAAAGGAGATTTCTTAAACTCTGATATAAACTTGTCCCCCTATTACATTTTCTCAAAGCTTTCTGATGCTTTTCCATTTTCAGCACTTCTCATAGTTTGTAAGAAGGAACGATATGTTAAAAGTTTAGTAACTGGTACCACATGAACACTGACAAATCAGAATGGACACCAAAGTACAGAGGGTAGGGCAATGCCAGTGAGTGTCATCTGAGGATCATCCCTATGTGTGTGTGTGTCGTGTCTGTGTGTGTGTGTGTTCCATGAGGGCTGTGACTGTGCCTGTGGGGCTATTTACTCTGTTCCTGTCAAACAGCCTGCTCTAAATAAATATCTGTTGAGTGGTAAAGGAGTGCCAATCATAATCATTTTGGAGGCCTTTGGGCTGGGTGAGTAACTGGGGATGAAAACTTCCAGCTAACTAACTCTGTAAGATTGGCTATTGAGCCTGTCTGTAGCTTATGTTCCTTACCTGTGAAATGGAGACAGTACTCATCTCCTAAGTTTGGAGAGAGGATTAAGGGACATGATTCTCAATCGGTGGTTTGTAAATGAGCTGTTATTATCATTGTCAGGGACCTAAGTGTCCTTGGGTAACCCCAATATGTGCCATTCCTCAATGTAGTCTAAAGACAGGCGAGACAAAATTAAAAGTTTAATCAACAGGAAGAGGAACAGGAAGAGACGTGAAGGAGAGAAAAAGGGAGATGAAGGAGGAAGAAATAGGGAGAAATAGAAGGAAAGAAAGAAAGATGAGATCATGCCTTATTATATGCTGGCCCTTATGCTTGTACAAGTATTAGCTCTACATCTCCCCACCACCCTTTGAGGAAAGTCACATTGAAAGTCACTCAGCTAGAATATGGTAGCAGTGTTAGTGATGTAGGGTCAAGAGATCTGGTTTAAATCTTGGTCCTATGGTTTCCATCCGCTCTAACAATGCTGCAATATTCAACTTCTACTCCACCAAGAGAAGGAAAGAATTCTTGATAATCTGTTTAACATTCTCCGTCTTAGTCAGAAAGAGACGAGGATTCTGAAATGTTTTATCAGATATCTACATAAATTTCTCTAAATAGATTGTATCTACTTAGCAGCAAGTTATAAGCTGCTGCCTAATAAACCAGACTTGTTTTTAGTCTAAAAAATCCTCAGATTTTAGTTTAATGGTTTTACTGAAAATGTCAGCACTCCATAATGAGATTTATTTTAAAAGGTAGAGGATGGATTCAGGAAAAAAAAAAAAAAGAGAGAGAATTCTTTTTAGGAACAGAGTGCTCTGCTGTGACACAGACTCTGCATAATTTACATGTCGGAAAAGTCTGAATCCAAGTAAACACACAGGCTTATACATAGTTTGGGGCCACCATCTCTAGCTTCTGGGCGGTATATTTATTTATTTAGACTTCAATCACACCTTTTTTCCCAGAGAACTCTTGGAGAAAACATTGAATTTTATATTCCTAATATTAATATAAGTTTGGCGGTAATATTCAGAACAAATACAGGAGTAGAAATAACAATAACATATTGTGTTTGTGTAGTCCACGGACATTCACAAAGCTCTTGAATATCAATGCTTTTGTTTAATCCTCCCAACGATCTTTTGGACTAGAAGCTATTACCCTCATTTTAAGGATAAGAAACTAAGGTCCAGAGACCCTTAAAATGCCTTGCCCAAGGCTTTACACCTAGCAAGTAGTAGTTCAAGGCCCTGAAATAAGTATGGAGACAGCAAATCCAGGCATAGTGTTTGCTTTCTCCATGGGACCACTCACCCCAAAATAGAGGACCCTTCAGTGTGGTGTGCAAGTGTGGTAAGAGCTATCTCTGGAAGGAGCTGATGTGATGATCTATACCACCCCTGAAAATGTTATCTCTGGGAAACAAAGCAAACATCTATGACTGTCCCCTCCAAACTTTGACCTCTTCCAGTGTTCCTATCTTGGGGGGAAACCCTTCTTCCATCCGGTTATGTATGCTAGAGACTTAGGAGTCTTTCGGGACACATCCTATTTCTTCACCTCACATGCCAAGTCCTAAACATTCTACTACCCAGACATCTCTCAAAACCATCCACTTCTCTCCAGCTAGACTTTCACTATCTTAATCCAGTCTTCCCACATCTTCTGCCTGGACTCGTGCAGTCCCCTTCTCACTGGGCTTGGGCAACTAGCCAGCTGGACCTGGTTTATCTACATATACTTTATTTCCCTCCCAGCCTCATACCATACTGCAATGAGGTAGACCATTTTAAAAACAAATCTGGGGCTTCCCTGGTGGCGCAGTGGTTAGGAATCCACCTGCCAATGCGGGGCACACGGGTTTAAGCCCTGGTCCTGGAAGGTCCCACATGCCACAGAGCAACTAAGTCCGTGTGCCACAACTACTGAGCCTGCGTTCTAGAGCCCACGAGCCACAACTACTGAGCCCACATGCCGCAACTACTGGAGCCCGCACACCTAGAGCCCGTGCTCCACAACAAGAGAAGCCACCGCAATGAGAAGCCCGCACACCGCAACGAAGGGTAGCCCCTGCTCGCCACAACTAGAGAAAGCCCTCACGCAGCAACCAAGACCCAACGCAGCCAAAAGTAAATAAATAAAAAAATAAATAAAAACAAATCTGTCTGTCCTTTACCTCCCGACCCTGGCTTCAAACACTTCAACAGTTCCCCATAGCTCTCACAAGAAATGACAGTTTTCACCTTGTCTAAGAGCTCTGTAGGGTCAGGCCTTACCTATTTCTTCAACGACATTTCAGACCTCTGCACTCCCTTCTCTTTGATCTACTTTCAGTTTCTTGGACTCAGCGACGCCCACTCCTGCTGAAGGGGCTTTGCACGTGCTGTTCCCTCTGCTGGTCACGTTCTTCTTGATCTTCTTTACTTAATTAACTCCTACAGTGCTGAGCTCAATTACTCCTTACTCTGGAAAGCTTTCCCAGACCTCCAGGACTACTTGTCTTCTTTCTAATATATACTTTCATAGAACTTCACATCTCTCCTTCACAGCACTTCTCCCAGATGCAATTTTATAGTTATTTCTGTGATTACCTAATTCATGTCAGTCTTCTCTCCTATACTGTAAACATCACAAAGAGAGAGTCAGTTCTTAGCACGGTGTCACCACTGTAGTAGGTGTCCAAAAACTATTTCTGAAATGAATTGGTGAAGGATTAGCAATTCTTGTGCAGTGCAACCTATATGCTTTGCCTCATGCTGCTTGAAGAATCCTATCCACAGTTGTACAAATTGAAATACTCCCCCATAA